TCCAGTATTTTCAGGTGAGACAGTTTCAGTCACCCACGCTTACAGTCCTAGAGCTTTTGCCTTTCAGGGTCATCCACCGCCACCTCACCTGACCCCTTCCTGCCCGCTCATATCCCAGTCACCGGGAACCTCGCCATGCTCCTAGCAAAGCATGCACTTCCACACCCATGCCTCCCCCTCCCTCCTCATCCTCCTGCTAAAATTCTGCTTAAGAGTCAGCTCAGATGCCACCCCACTCGTAGTGCTTCTGGGGTCCCTGTTACCTGCTCCTTTCAACCCCCTCTGGCATTTCACAGTTCACTTCCCATTGGCACCACACATGCACCTGGCCCGTCCCTCTGCCCTCTCCTACCGGCAGGGCTTCTGCTGCATCCATCTGTCTCCCCGACCGGCCTGAGGAGTGTGCACCGTGTCTGTCCAAATATCCTTTATTTCCCCCAAAGCAGGGCTTGTGTGAACACATGGAGAACGTGCAGAGCGCTCTCCTTGTCGTGTGAAAATGACGAGTTGCATCAGGGAGTGAAATGCTCTCTTTCTCTATATTTCCACCATCTGACACACTAAAGATTTTATGTACATGCTGTTTGTCTGACTCCTCTGATCAGAACATACGCTCCATGAGGGCCGAGACTTTTGTCCGTTGTGTTACCATGGATACCCTGGGGGGCTGGTGCATGGCAGACACAGTGTATCGCTGTTGAATGGATTATCTTGGCTCAGGCAAGAGGAACGAGAGATCTCAAAACAAAGTCATCTTTGTCTGCTTAGTGTTTGCATCAAGCATGACAGAAAGGGATGAAATAAAAACTCCCCCAATTGCCACATATCCCAGCAATTCTGGGATTCCCCAAATCCATGAACAACAAACCCCCTAAAACCTGGGTGGGGACCCTCTGAGAGCACACAGCCACCTCTCAGATGCACACTCAATGCTCCCAAGCCTCCTTTTCCCTTAATCTCCCTGGATGTGTCTCCCCAAGTACCTCCGAATGTGAATGTATTTGGAGACAGGGACTTTTGAGAGGTAAAATGAAGATAAAATTAGGTCACAAGGGTGGCCTCTAATCCACTATGACTGATGTCCTTAGAAGAAGGGGAGAATGGGACACAGACACACACAGAGGGACGACCATGTGAGGACACAGGGAGACGGCCAACTACAAGCCACGGAAGGAACGAGCCCTGCTGACACCTTCATCTTGGACGTCTCGCCTCCAGAGCTGTGAGAAATACATGTCTGCTGCCTCAGCCCCCCGTCTGTGGGACCTGGTTACGGCTGCCCCAGCAAACTAATGGGATGTGGTAAGTCCCACAGGGAAGCGTGCTTTTGTCGAGGACACCCCCGCTGAATGCAGGGCAGTAAACCGAGTGTAATGAAACGTGCAGACACCAAGTAAAGGGGGGGGGCCGGGGGGGGGCGGGGGGGGGGAAAAAAAAAAAAAAAAAAGGGG